CGATGTAAAATTCTTCAGAGAAGAAAGATGTGGATTGAAAAGAAATTATTTGACTTGGTAGCCAAGGAGTCATCAACATGGATCGATGGTTCAGTAGGAAAGGAGGCCAAAGGGAAAGGGAACGGAATGGGTAGGGGTGGCCAGGAGTGCACCCCGAGAGAACCTGCTACCGTTTCTCCGAAGGAAAGGAGCGAGAAGGGGCACCTTGGTGAGGTGGGTTGCCAGGGACAGGGACAGCTTGTTTTCTCAGTTACGAGCATGTTTACTCTCAAAGGGCGGGCCCGATGGAGAGGTATAAATGGTAGAGAGTACCTCTGGAATCCGTTCTGGAAAAGGTCGAAAGACCATGTTCAAGCACACAAGAGAAAGTTAGATTTGAAATTGCCCCCCAACTGCTCTGCCTATCTTCAGTTCCACCCACTGCAGTCCATTCTGGAGTGTTCTCTCTACAACGTAAATCTACTCATGCACTTATAAACTCTTCCATAAATATCTGCTTAATGAGTGCAGAAAAGTGAATAAATAAATTAGTGAATGAATGGGTGAGGAGGAGAAAGAGAAGGATTCTCAGTGAGATAATTACAGACAGGTAATTTCAGATAACTTCACTTAAGGAAAGTGATTACTCCATTTCCCAAGCGTAAGAGCACATTTTGACGTTTTCTATGGATTTCAGAAAGCAAATTGGATAACTTCTGTATCAGACACTAGATCACCTTGCCTCCCGAACCCCTCCAGTGGGCATTACGCAGGCCATAGCTGTGGTAAGCTGTGGACACTGTTTTCACCACTTTGGGCAACACAGACCTGCGAGTTCTTCTGAACAGTACTGGTTGAAAAGGAGGGCGCAGCTCATCTCTACTCTAGCAGGTCTGCACCCACTGAGGCCCTGGCACCCCAATGGCTGCCCAGAGAGTCCATCCTACTTGGAAGTAGGATGGGGCAAACTCAAGCCAATGAAAGACAGAAACGGGGAAAAACTAGAAGATAAATTACTAGCCTTCTTGTCCACTTCCCCCAGTGCCAGTACTGAGACGCAGTCGTTTAATACAGCCTCTCTGGAAATATCTCCCAATAACGCACGCATTTCTGTTGGCTCTCCCCCTTCCTTTCTGCTCCCCACTTTTGTGTCCTGGGATTGCACCTGGTCTAAACAAGTAATTTTGAGACATTTTTCAATGTTCAATATCTTAGGGGATATTTGAAGCATGTTATTAGAAGCACAAACAAAAACGGATTTGTAATGAAAACATTCGTTTATTTGCATTGGCTTACGTTTGGGTACTGGAAAGAGTAGTTGCAGAGAATAGTTGCAGTCACTGAAGGAGAATGAAAAGGCAAGAAGAAATGGTGAACGAACAGTCAAGCAACAAGGAAACAGTCATTCTCCTTGTAGACTATCAACAGGAGATAATCAGAAACACATGGCTCTGGTGAGCACAGATGTGGTCCCCAGATAGCAAAGTTTCCATCAAAGGAGCCCATATTAAGGAGATTTTTCTCCCATTGTGCCTGTTTGTAATTAATGTGTTCCTATGTTATGACATATTAAAGTGTTAGATTCCAAAAACAAAAATTTACTGAGTGACTTATCTCAATGAAGACAATTGAAATTGTCTTCAGTTTACATATTAAATTGAAATAATTTTTAAGCGACAACAAATTACCAGCTAAAATTCAAACAACTAAGAAATGACAAAAAGTATACTTGCTTAGCAAAGCCCCTTGGGGAGTTAAAAATGGAAAAAAGAATAAAAAATTGGCCAGAAAGAGGGAGAGTACTTCCTTGCTATGGAAAGTTGGCATACACTATACCATGATCTCAATCTGCACTGAGAACAGTTTTAGACATTGAACCAGATCCCAGTGGTAAAGATGTAAAGGGCACAGTCAGTCACCCACCTTTAAATATTTGCTACCACAAATATTTAACCCTCTGTTCCTAGGCTGCTATAGCACAAAAGGTCTTCTCTTAAAACGACTGAAACCAAAGACTGGGACATACTCACTGCTCATTCAAGAAAGCATGAAAACTATGATTCAAGAAATGCTCTGTGACTACACTTTGGTTTCTGACTGTGTATTCCTGCAGACTCCACCGCAGTCATTAAATCAGTTTTTCAAATGTCCTCAGGTAGATTCTTTAAGAATTTTTTTTTCCTTTTGTAGATTTGTAAATCCAGATGCAACTGCCACTTCCTGGAGGGGCAGTTAGTTTAAAGTTTAAATGTATTACTGTTTAAGCATTTGTCATGTTTCTTGGTATTTCTTTAGGTCTGAATAGCTGAAGGAAATTATAACTTTTCCCAGAGAATTGCACATACACATACACACAACATTTTCCATAAAGTACATAAGCTCGGTAGATACCTCATCCATCCAAATACTTTCTGGAATCCATGAGCCTAATGTCAAAGCCAGCTGCTTTAAGTAACTTTAAAAATCACTTAAAGATGGATAAACACAAGGAAGGGAAAGCCCTAGTAGCATGCCTATTTTGGTATGCCCATCAAAGTAAAAACAAATCCCTTTTTTAAAATTTTTATTGTTTTTTTAATCAGAGAGGAAGGGAGAGAGAGAGAGAGAGAGAGAGAGAGAGAGAGAACTAGAAACATCAATGATGAGAGAATCATTGATCAGCTGCCTCCAGCACGCCCCCCACTGGGGATGGAGCCTGAAACCTGAGCATGTGCCCTTGACTGGAATTGAACCCGGGACCCTTCAGTCCACAGGCTGACGCTCTATCTATTTAGTTTCTAAACTAGAGAGGGCTAGCTATTTTTAAATAAATTTCATAAGTAGCTGTCTTTGAGAATAATCTATATGTTGGCCCCAAAGACATTTCTTTTTTCACTTAAGCTATCTGAAAGAATATTAATATTCAAAACTGGATTATTATTCTGGATCAGATACTATAAGAATAACTAATTTATACCTGATTTAAACTAACTTCCACATGATACATTCTCTCTAGCTTCCTTTCTATCTCTACAAAAAATGACTCTAAACCAATGGCTGGCACAAGTTAAGTTAAAAATAGAGGCACGTGGCAAGTGTTTGGAAATTTAGTGTTCATATGTATGGATTTCTGGACTGTAATTGTGAATTTAGAATCTTGCTTATGATTAAAATATTTAATACTATCAACAATTTGCAAAAAAAATCATGTGTTTGTCAAATTTTGTGAAGAAAAATTCTAAAGTGAATGTTTTATGCAAGCAGCCAAAAAGATCCAAAGTGAAATGAATTTTCCTGGGACAGCCTAGAAATAACAGTTAACATATGCCTAAGCTGCAGACAAAAGCAGGATACGTGTAAAATCAAGGAGGGAGTAAAAGGGGCTGTAAGTTAATGAATAAAAACCTTTTTGTCCAAAATTTTCAACAAAAAGTTTAGGTACTTAAGGAGCAAAACCATCTCAACTATTTTTAAAGAAATTATATTTATTTAATATTAGAACCTAACAAGAAGTGACTTTCAAAGTCACAGTTTATATCCATCATAAATTTGATATACTAAAAAAAAAAAACATCCAAAAATTACAGGAGTTAAGTTAATGTTAGGATAAGTAAACAAAAATACATAGTCTTCAATTACTTTAGAGTATTTAATAACTGATTCACACTTGCAGCTGCTGTTCATCGAGAAGTGTTTCTAGTTAACTTATTTATCTGCTATTTTTTGCATAACATATTTCTTGGTCAAGATGCTTCTTGACATTATTGATAAAATAAGTCATTCATGTAAAAGTTTTCAAATTTTCTTCATTCTAACCTAATATTATTTTGTATTTCAATAAGTTCTTAGAGTTGTGCTTTCACAAATTATTATTAGATTTTGAACTTATTTTTACTTAGAGCATCAGCCCTGCAGTAGGGACCGGGTAGATGGACCATGTCAGAACGCTGGCCCAGGGGCCGGCCTGAACATCTGGGGGCGTCAGCCATCTGGTCTGTAAAATAATGACGCTCATACCTGCCTTACCTAACTCACAGGGTTGAGTCCGATATGAATCCATAAAGAGTTTTTAAAAACAAGATGGTACTTGTGCTGGAGGTGTTAGCAATAATGGTAAAAGTACTGTTTGGTATTTAACAAGAAATTCTGCTCCAAACAATAACCGTGATCATAGAATTTACTGCAGAAATAAGACAGTAGTTTACTGATTGCTAAATTACCTTGCTACAATACCTGCTGTAGCATAGAAATCATTGACTTTGCTACTGTGAATTTTGTCTGTGTGTTTTCTTTTTCTTTTCTTTTTTTTTTTAGACTGGACTATTTTAAGTATCATTTCACTGACAGGCATAAGGGGCGGGGGGTGCTATATTAAAATAGTAATCTGAGTGTTTTTATGTGTTTTGTGTTTTCTCTAACACTTGACAAGTGAGATTAGTAAAGTTAATTAGCATAGGATAAGTATAGGATAATCTATATTTTCCTAATTCTATAAGCAATAAAATGCGGTGTATCAATTCTTTTGAAGAAACCTATTGTCATTTTCTTTTAAATGCTTCAGAAATAAACATTTGTTCTAGAAATGTGTTCACCAACCAAAATTGATTTAACCTATTACGAAATGGAATTTGGGAGTGTCTTTGAGTCTGGCGTGGTCGGGGTGCTCACACTGGCTGCCTTGAGGAAAGAAACACTTAGTGTTTATCACCTTTTAGGGATCTTTATTTATGTTTCTAAACTTTAAATCTGTAGGTCTCTTAGAACCCTAAGGTTTTCAGAAAGCATGCAGATCACTCCCACCTCCTCCAAATTGTCTATTTCATTCAGCTGGAATGAAGCGAACACCTCAGAGAGAAAATAGTGGCCAGGACTTTCTGGGAATAAAGAGAAGTTGAAGCAACATGTGTCTCGCTGTCCTAAGGTCACTCTCTGGGCTGGGTGTATCCTGGACCTCTGTCAGACCTCATGGCAGTTAATTTTAGTTTCACAGAAAGGACAGCGAGAGGCAGAAAATGTCAAGGGTAAGCTTATGACCGCCGTACCTTTCTGATTTCCGGGGCATTGCCAGGGAGAAAGAAGCACGGTTCGTCCACAGAATGTCTTCTCTTGCATCTGCTCGCCTGGGGTTCAGTGGGTGTGTTGGGGGCAGCCCCGGGCACAGTGGCTGCCAGCTTCCTCGTCCCTCGGAGGGTCAGGCTCTGGTAGAAGAGACAGATGGCCACCACCAAACCCACCAAGAAGGGCCGGGGGCAAAATCGCCGTCGACAAAGGAACCCTGGACGACAGACCATGACCAGTTCAGCTGCCCTTGGCCCCTGGCCACGTTGCCGGAAAAGTCATAGCAGCTATTCCCTGTCAGCATGAAGAACACCAATCCGCCGCCTTTTTCCGCAGCTTAAGTAAAGATTGCTCCATCCCGCTCAAGAACTTTCCGAAGAATCATACCAAAGAGTTATAGGTCCCAGAAGTCTGAGTCGGTTGCTAAGAGCTCTTGCGTGGATGACAGTAAGAAGTGGGCTGGCCTGGGTTAAATAACAGTCATTTTAAGAAGACATCCAAATAGCAATAGCGGTAACGAAGAACCCGAGCGGACCCCAGGCTGCCAAACTGTTGCTTCCGGCAATGCCTTCTGTCCACCACCTCCTTCCACTCACAGTGACGACATCACAGGAAAACAGAAGACACCCCCAGGGCCCATCTGGAACCTCCAAACCGCGCCGAAGAGTGCAGTCGCTTAAAACGCAAAGTGCCCAGCAAAGCGCCCCGTGGCGCAGCGGGGAGAAGGGGAATGGGGGGCGGGCCAGCTCGCCGGAGCAGCTCCCCAGTTTTCCTCCGGCTTTAAAAGCTTCCAAGTTCCCTAACTGCTTCCCTTCATTCCGTTTCAAATCGCCACTTTCCTGGAAGCACTTACGGCTTTTAACATAAAAGCGGAGTGAACGGTTTGAATGGACTGGGCTCCTGTTAGGGTTTTCGCCTGTGACTTGGTTGCATTGCGTTTCAAGCTCAAAGTCCTGTGTACTTACTCGGTGTTCATCCTTGCGGCCAGAAAAAAGTTTCCGCGGGTCCCTAATGGATTGTTGGTCGGAGCCACTCGGAAGGAAACACCCCGTCCTGTGACTCCGATCATCTCGCAGACGCGGACACACACACGCGCCCTCCCGGCGGGGAGCGGCGG